TCCTCCTCTCAATCTCTCATGCCATTCATTGGAGGCATAACTTGGCAAGCAGTCTCTTACAACTCCATCATCTCTGCTCGGGACGTTCCTGGTCTTTCTAACCATGCTGCTGATGCTCTTTCTCGTTTTAAATTTCAGACCTTCCACAGCTTCGTCCTTCTGCCGATCTCCTTCCGACCCCCGTTCCTCCGCTAGAAGAACTCATCCTTAACTAACCCACTCTCTTCTTTCGTACTTACTTCCTCCAGTTTCTACATAAATCAGGTTTAGCTTCACTTCAACTAATAGTCATTTCGATCCTTCCGAACATTCGTCTCTTTCGGATCTTCGTTTCCACATCAATCTTACAAACATCTTGAATCATTCTAAAGGAAAGGCCCTTGTTTTATTTCTATCTTACGTACAGATGGCCCCTTTTGCCCGTTTATCACCATGTTTAATCTGTCCAAAAGCGCCAAAAGTTTTTCCCTCATTTCAAAGCCACTTCGTCACGCCCAAGGGTTCTCCCGCATCACCACGCTGGTTCCAAGACCATTTCATAATACTATTAGAATTCCGTGGCTTTTCATCCAGTCATTATTCCAGCCACTCATTTAGGATAGGGGCAGCCACAAAGCAGCTGCCCGTGGTGTCTCTGTGGCCTCTCTCCAGCAGTTGGGCCGATAGAATCTTTCAGCCTATATATCCTATATCCGCCCTGAACACTCTTCAATCTTAGCAGCTCAATGCTCTCTCTGTCTGTAACGTAAGCTAACTTCGAATACTGGTGGTGGTTTAAAATATATTCTCATCTTTGCTAAATCATTGCTCCCTGCCACGCAACCTGCTATGTTCCCTGTGTGTTCCCTGCCTCATTCCCCGCCTTGCATTCTGCCATGCTCCCTGGGTGTTCCCTGCCATGCTTCCCGCTATGCTCCCCGTGAGTCATGTTCCCTGCCACGCTCCCTGCCATGCTCCCTGTGTGATCCCTGCCACTTTACCTGCCTGCCATGCTCCCTGCCATGCTCCCTGTGGTCCCCTGCCTTGTTCCCTGCCATGCTCCCTGTGTGTTCCCTGCCATGCTCCCTGTGTGTTCCCTGCCATGCTCCCTGTGGTCCCTGGCCTTGTTTCTTGCCATGCTCCCTGTGGTCCCTGGCCTTGTTCCCTGCCATACTCCCTGTGGTCCCCTGCCTTGTTCCCTGCCATGCTCCCTGTGTGTTCCCTGCCATGCTCCCTGTGGTCCCCGGCCTTGTTCCCTGCCATGCTCCCTGTGTGTTCCCTGCCATGCTCCCTGTGGACCCTGGCCTTGCTCCCTGCCTGCTCCCTGTGTGTTTCCAACCATGCTTCCTCGCCACATCCCCTGTCGTTTCCTGCCTTGCTTTCTGCTATGCTCCTTGCAATGTTTCCTATGCTTCCTGCAATGCACCCTGCTAAGCATTCTGCAAAACTCCTTTATTTTCTCTCTACCATGCTCACTGCTATGATCCCTGTCTTGATTATTCATTTATCACGTGTATTAGCCTGTGCATAATGAAGTCCTTCTGTACTCATCCTTCTCCCTCCGCTTTCTGCATATGCTGGCGCTCAGGCCTGAACCCCGGCAATGTTTGGGGGGAATATCATTATTCTCATACATCAGTTTATCTGCATTAAAGTATAAATCAGCGTTTATGTTTCCTGCCGAGGCCTGAGCGCCAAAGTTCAAACTATCGT